ACTCTGTTGTATAATTTTGTGTCTATAGAAAGCAGAGTTTACCATTTTTACTATCTCTGTGAAGAAAGGCCAAATATCCCTCTGTCTGCTGCAGTTGATCTGCAGTGTGGGATATGATTGAAATAGTCAGGAAACCAGTCATGAACTTCATTGGCAAATAAGTTACTAGAATACAGAAGGTAAAGGGCGTTTTTGTGCTTGATACATATATGTGACATCTCTGTAATAAAGCTTTTTTTAAAAACATTTTGTTTGGATCAGATCTACTGTAAGCTTTTGCCCGTAGGCTGTGTCACGTGTCTCAGTATCAGTAGTGCACTTCTGGTGTGTCCTGTCAGCAAGTCATAACTTTAGATGCATTTCAGCTAAAGCTTCAGATCTACATATCCTGAATTCAGGAGGTTCTTTGTAAGCAGCTTTGTGCTAGAGATTTGTCCCTGTCACTTAGGTTACTTCCTGGTTTATAACAGAAAATAAACTTTAGGGCTATTGGAAGGACTTCCATTTAGTATTGATAACTTACAATTCATTTATGCCTTTTCAGGTTGGAAGAGCAGGAAGGTTGGGTCACAGTGGAACTGCAATTACTTTTATCAATAACAACAGCAAGAAGCTCTTCTGGGATGTTGTGAAAAGAGTAAAACCTACAGGCACCATTCTTCCCCCACAGCTTCTTAATTCCCCATATCTGCATGACCAAAGGAGAAGGGAACAACAGAGACTTAAACAATTACAGAATAGCCTTGTAACAGGAGATAATGTTATGGACCTTATTAGAAAACACAACAGAAATAATTCTCAGAGGTAATAAAGATATATTTATAGTTATGTAATTACAACGAAACTATAATTAAAAATAAACATGAAATTATGCTTTGTGTATTGCGGTTTTTAAAGAAGTTTGGCAGTTTTTTAAGGAGAGTCATTTTTATCTTTATTTTGAAGTACAGACTGTATGTTTGAGTTACAATAGTGCCTAGTAAAAATACTCTAACCCTGCTATTACCAGTAATCTTTGGTCTTGGCTTGCAACATGAACTGGGAAGATACTTTTTATTTTGTTTTAGTATTTCTGCATAATAGTTTCATACTTTCTGTGAGACACGCTCTTCTGGTAATTCTTATGTCATTATATTGAGACAAGACCTTTGCAAAGGACACCCTTTAAACCATTAAAAACTGGTGACAGATTAGTCTCTGAAAAATCTCTTCCTGTTAGCTTACATAAAATCTTCTGCTAGGAACATTTCTCCAAATTCCCAGTATGCCCTCTGGGGGTTTTTTAGGAACATATGCAAGTTTTGTTTGTAAAGAAGTTAGTTTCTCCTTTAGTGCCTGTGGACCAGTGAGGTGTTCTACTCAAGCACTTTGCAATAGACAGTACTTGGTTATTAGTGGAGCTTCATTGCAGAGATGTAAGATAAACCACATAAATAAGAAGTTTGTGTTCTTGAATGAAATACAGTTAATACATAAATGGTCATATTATTTGAGCAGAACTTGCCATGCTCTGACATCAGATGCCCTTTTGTTTTTTTGAGAAGTGAGGTCAAAACTGTATTGAGATAGTGTTACATGATTTCCCATCTGAAGTCTGAGATAGGTCATAACCAAAATTTCCTTTTTTTTTTTTTCTTTTACCTTTCCAACTAAGGCTTGAGAAATTAATTTCATCAGACCTTTTGTGGTGCTGTGATGCATTGTCCCTTTTTGGCAGACGGAGATGTCACAGGTGTTAGCCCTGTGCATTGTATGTCTGTTCTTTGGCCAAAGACAGCAATGGGATAAATTGACTTTGGTGCCAAAACAGCTTAGTGGCTTGCT